CTCCGCCTTCCCTTTCCTCTTCCTTCCTCCGCCCTCCTGCCCCCCCCTCCCCGCCCCAGCTCCCTGTGCCAGTCCCCGCAGGGGATCGCCCGCAGGGTAAGTTTGTGGACGGCGCTCGCCAGAGCTCCGGCGGCGGAGAAGACGAGGCCTCAGACCAGGTCCGCGTGGACACTCTCGCCAGCGCTGCCGCGCGACCCCGCCGCGCCCCGCCTCGCCCGGAGGGTGCAAAGCGCCCGCGGCACAGCGCGCCCGAAAGGGGCCCGCCAGTGGGTCCGACAGAGCACGTTTGTATGGCTTTGCTATCCCGCCCGCAAGGCGACCCGTTCCCTCCCCTCGGCACTGATATCTCGGAGAATATCCAGGGCTTGCTCGAGGACGCCGCAGGCGTGGCAAGCCACCGGGAAACCGCTTTGAGGCATTGGAAGGCTCGTTCCGCGGCTCTGGCGAGCAATCGCCAAAAGTGGGTCGATTCTCTCCCGTCCAAATTCAAATCAACTCTGGAGAAGATCAACGGCCCCCTCCTGCAGGAAATGCTTCTGGCCGTAGGCCATCCAGATCGCGATTTCATGGAGGATTTGTCCCGGGGTTTTCCGGTTTCTGGCCCTGAAGGGGCCGGCGGCGTTGGGCGCAAGTTGCCTGGCCCGGCGTTGCCGCGCAGCGCCGAGGAGGGGGGCCCCCCATGCTTGGGGGAACTTTTCCAGCGGTGCCGGTCGATTAACGACTGCACCGTAGCCAGAGCGAAGCCATGCGCCCACGCTGAGGTTATTTGGCGGAAGCATCTGCAGGAGGTGTCGTCCGGGAAGGTTGGGCCACCGTTGGCTCTCCACGAAGTGGATTTAAGTCAAGTCCTCCTTGTTGACAGGTTTGGCATTGAGGAGCGTCGAGAGGGCGTGCAAAAAATCCGGATCATTGACAACTTCAAAAAGAACGGCGTCAACGCCTGCGCGTTCATGACTGAGCGCGTGTGGAACGATACACACGACCATTTGTCTCACGCCGCTTTGGCTCTGCTGCACGGCTTGCGCCGCAACCCGCCCGCAGGGCCCCCGGGGATTCTTCTCGGGAAAGACGATTTCGTTGGCGCCTTCAAGACAGTTTGCCCTAGCCCGGAGCAGTCTTGGCTAATGTGGTGCTTGGTCTGGGATACCGACCATCGCGAATGGAAGGTGTCTGAACTGTTGACTCAACCGTTCGGGGCCCTCGGTGGCGTGTTCGCGTGGTGGCGTTGCGCCCAGGCCATCAAGGCAGTGGCGGTGAAGGCATTTAAGCTCATCCTTTTCGTGTACGTCGATGACACTTTCATGGTGGACCTCCAGCCGCACGCGCAGCGCGCCAAACTGGTGTTCCAGGAACTTATGTCCCTGTTAGGCTGGGACCTAGACCCGGGAAAGTTTGAAGGCATGTGCACGTGCATAAACTTGCTCGGCTGCACCGTGTCGGTCTCCCAACAGGGCGTGGAGTGGCGCCTCCACCCGCGCAAGGCCGCAGAGTGGCGTCGCGAAATTGAAGTGTCCCTGGCCGTAGGCTCCCTTTCCCCCGCCTTGGCGGGCAAATTCGCCGGCCGTCTCAACTTTGCGTGTTCGCGGGCGTTCGGTCGGGTTGGTCGTTCTTACATCAGGCCGCTGTATTGGCGCCAGTCTTCCCATGGGTCCTGGAAGCTCACGAAACGGTTGCGATCGTGCCTCCGTTGGCGGGCTGCTTTACTTGAGGCTTATCCCAGTATGAGCCGTACGACCGCGGAACTGGCGCAGCCCTTGTTCGATGTGTTGGTATATACCGACGCGGCGGGCGACGGAGGCGTCGGGGTCGGGGTCTTCTGGCGTGAATCAGGTGCACGAGAGTATGCCATGGATTTCGTACCGCGCAGGTGGCTGCGCAAGTTACAGTGCAGGAAAACGCAGATCAACGCTTTCGAACTCCTGGCCGCCACGGCCGCGTGGCAGACTTGGGGGCCCGAGCTTCGTTCGGCGCGTGTATTATTCTTCGTCGACAACACCGCTGCGCTGGATATCCTCATTTCTGGGTGGTCGAAGAGACCTGACCTGAATTCTATTGCGGGCGCGTGCTGGCACGCCGTGGGCCGCTCCCGAGCGGCGGTGGAATTTCGCTACGTGCCGTCCGAGAGTAATCCTGTAGATTGCCTCAGCCGGCAAACTTTGGGTCCGTGGGCGTCGTGGAGCCGCAGGGCACTAAAGTGGCCCCGCCCCGGCTCCGTGTAGTTGCCAGGCAGGAGACGGCGCATCCGGGAGTCGCCCGGCGTGGAAGAAAGAGCGTCGTCGATTCTTTCGCTCTCGTTTGTCCTTGTCTTTCCTTTTCTCGCTTCTCTCCTTCCCTCCCTCCCTCCCTCCCTCTCCCCTCCCGCCCCTTTTGCTCCTGCCCCTCCCCTGGCCCTCGCCTCCGCCGCCGCCGCCGCCCGCCGCCCTCCCTCCCCCGCCGCCGTCGCACCTCTTCGGCCGAGGTGGCGGGCCGGCGCTGCTGGCCGGTTCGGAGGTTGGGGGGCGTTTTTTGTCGGCTTGGACTCGAAATTCGATTTTCCTTGGCGCGCGCGGTGGGGGTTGTGGTTCACATTGCCCGTAGGAGGCGCCAGAGAACGGTCGGAGTGTGCGTGTTCTGGCAGGATGCATCCACTTGTTCTCGCCCCATGCGCCTCGCGATGTCCCCACCGCGCGCGCGCGCGTCCTCGTGCCTACCACGTGCTGCCCGCCAGTGTCGCCGCAGGCCCGAGGGTGCGCCCAGCGGGGTAGCCGTGCTTCGGGGGGGCCCGGCCGGGCCCATGCGGCCCGTGCAGCCAGTTGGCCTCCGCCCCCCGGCTGCTGCCCCGGCGGCGGCGGCGGCGCCCCCGCGCCGCGCTTCCACCTTCAGGGGGCCAGTCCTGCGTAGCAGGAGTCCCAGGCGCCCTCGCGAGCCAGCTTGGCTCTCTCACACAGCCAGCGGGCCGCACGGCCTTGGTTCTGTTTCCACGCACGTGGTGCCTGGCGTTCCCAGCAGTGGGCCGGCCGCACCGTTCGAGGGTCCACAACCGAGTGCGTTGTTGAACCCGCTCCGCCCTAGGCCCGGAGTTGGCCAAACCTGGTTGCAGGTCCTTTCGCACCAATCCACTGCTTTCGACGTTGCGTACGCAATGGGCGAATATTTTGATGAGCAAGTGATTTGTGCAGCCTTAAACCGGAGACCATTTACAGTGCGCTTTGCGGAGCATTTCCCGTCCGAGGGCGGCCCGAGGAAACGCCTCGGGGCATTGCTTTCGGCACAGCAGGGGCGCCCTGCGAGCGAGCTGCAGGCCGGTTTGTTGCTTGAAGGGTCTCGGAGGGCAGCTCTGGAGACCATCAGGGGCTCGTGGAAGTCTACGCGGAGCGCTCTGTACGCGTGGGCAGAATTTTGTGAATGCTTCCACCTGCCTCACTTCCCGGCCACCATCACACACGCTAGGCAGTTTGCGCTTTTTGTCCCGCGCGGGCCAACTCTAGCAAAATATTTACAACATCTTCGATGGGCCCACAAGTTCTTAGATGCGCCGCTCGGCTGGTGGAGCGGCGGTGTTCAGCAACTGGTGAAGGGCGCCTCCCAAAGGGACGCGCCCGTCGTGCAATCTAGGCGCCCCGTGCTCCGCGGGGACGCGGTGCGAAAGATGGTCGCTGCTGCAGAGGCGCAGGGCCAACAGGAATTGGCCGACGCATTTGTGATCGCGCGCGGATTTCTCTTCCGCGCCCAGTCAGAAATGTTGCGCTTGGAAGTCGGGCAGTTTAGGCCCGGTAAGGCCTCAGGTATCATATTTGGCGCCCGGCACGTCGACGTCACGTTGGCTCGCCGGAAAAACTATGCGTTTCCAGTCACGCTCCGCAGGGAGTGTGCCTGCGCAAACCAGGGGCGTCGCATGTGCGCCTTTCATCGTTTGCGGTGCGCCGTAGAGCGCGCGAGACTCAGCAGACGCTCGCGTGTGTTTTCGTTCAGCTACCGTTTCTTCCTAGAGCGTACGCGCTCCTTTGGCGAAGGTGTCGGCGTCCCCGGCGTGGGGACGCACGCGTTCCGCAGGGGCGCCGCCCAGGACATGGCCGCCCAGGGCTGCCAACTGTGGGAAATCCTCCAGGCCGGAGGATGGAAGTCGGCCGCGTTCATGGCGTACATGAAAGAACACGAATTAGAAACGGGCGCGTGTGCGCAATTGGTGGCCGACCACAGCGATAGCGGTTCCGAGGGCCGGTAGCGGCGCATACGTTGGGCCAGAAGGCGCGCCCAGCCCTCACGTTGGGCGTATGCCAGGGGCTGGGCTTCTGAGCCCGAGGCACTCACATAGCGATGCCACAGGTCGGTGCGGGCTCTTGTGGCCCGTAGGGCTGTCCCTCCCCGCTGCTGCCGGCGCGGCCCTGCCGCCGCTGCCTGAGCCGCAGGCGCCGCGGCCGCTTCGCTGCGCAATTTTCTGCAGACGTAAACTCGTTTAGTGTCTCGGAAAATTCGTTGGGAAGGGCCGCTGTTCATATTGATTCTATTGTGGCCTTACTTGGTGTTGTCCCCTCGGGCTGATAAGGAGGTCGGGTTTGCTGGTTTTCGAAACTCGATTCCTTTGGAAGGGATCTGGTTGGGGTCCCGTGCCCGGGACTTCCGATCCTGTGGCTGCCACGTGCGCGCGTTCGCTTGCAGCTTGGGCCCAAAAGGCCCCTACAGCCCAGCAGGGGGTCGGGGTTTCATCCCTCGATTTCCCCACCCGCCCATCCCCCTTTGGGCGTATGCCAGGGGCTGGGCTTCTGAGCCCGAGGCACTCACATAGCGATGCCACAGGTCGGTGCGGGCTCTTGTGGCCCGTAGGGCTGTCCCTCCCCGCTGCTGCCGGCGCGGCCCTGCCGCCGCTGCCTGAGCCGCAGGCGCCGCGGCCGCTTCGCTGCGCAATTTTCTCCCGCTGTTGCTCCTCCTCATCCTTCTTATCCTCTGTTTCCTCCTCCGTCTCCTCCTCCTCCTCCACCTCCTCCTCATCCTCATCCTTCTCTATTGTTGTTGTTCCCTTCAGGGCCGTGGACACTGGTGGTGCTCTGCATCTCCCTGAGCGGCATCATGCTCTTCCAGAACTGCTGCAACCTCTGGATCCTTGGGGGGATCTGGAATCAAGGGCATAAAAAACGCCCCCACCCTGGTTTACGAGGCGCTGTGCGCTGAAACTCCTGTGGGCTGACAGGGTAAACCCTGCGGGATGTGCCGCGTCCTGGCGGCTCTGGGCTTTGGGGGTTCCCAGGAGGTTTACAGACTACGCACTTGTAGCCCAGGGTAGGGTCGTTTTTTTTTCATCCCTCAATGGAAGATGGAGATGGGGACCTCCGAAGCCTGCTGCCGTGCAGCTGCTCTCGTCCCCGCGGCGGGGCACCTCCTGGCTGGCACGGGCGCCCCCTCTCGTGGCAGAACGATGCGGCGTTCCAGGGAGGGCCTCGCCTTTGGATCTCGAAGAAGCTTGCATCTCTTCGACGTGGCTTCCTCGGCGACAGGGCGGCGGAAGCCAGCGGAGGCAAGACGGGGGACGTATACACATAGCAATAAACAATCAAAACCATACATACACAAACATGTAGACATATAGTCACGCAGGCAATCACATACATCTATACAAGACACACGCATATATATACATACACATACAAACATATATACACACATATTTCCATACATATATATATATATACACATATATATATATATGTATGCATCTATGTATACATATAAGAGTGTGCACGTACATGAGTTCGTACATCTATATATACATATACACATACATGTGCGTGTTCATGTACAAACTTACATATACATATACATGTTTATACGTATTTATCTATATAGACGTATATGTACTGTGTATGTAGATGCATTTGTGTGTGCATATGTATATGTATACGTGTACATATACGGATTCATAGATGTAGGTGTTTATGGAAACGTTTATGGCTATGCATATATGTAGGACTGTGTGTTCGTGTATGCATAGGTTTATGTATATGTTTGTGCATACGTATTTGACTGTGAGAGTGTGTTTGTATTTGCATAGATACATTATACATGCATGCCTGTATTCTACATGTGAGTACCTATATGTATATTCCTCTTCATATATGTTTACAAGCGGGGGGGGAACCCCCAAAAAAACTGCACCCCCAGGATCGGGGGTTCGGGGACCCCCGGACATCCTTGCCAAAGGTCCCCCGGTTCGTCTGGAATCTCCCTAGGCGCCTAGCCAGGTCTTGCAAGCAGACCCTAAGCGATCAAAGCGGTGATCAGAGAGGCCAAAGAGAGACCCAAGACAGCACAAGAGCGCTTCAAGAATGACCCAGATGGCCTCCAGAGGCCCCTAAGCTGGCCCAGGAGGCCCTCAACCGGATTTCCAGAACGCAGAAATCGCTTCATTTCCTTTGGGAAACGTGCAAATCTAGCATATTCGCTGTTCGGGTCTTCGCACCGTCCACAACAGCCAAACAGGCCTACAGCATCGCCCCAAGACGACCCAAAAAGCCCCCAAGAGAGCCTCTACACGGCCTGGATGGCCCCAAGATTGCTCAAGGAAGCCTTACATGAGCCAAAAAGAGGCCCAACATGCCTCCAGAAGGCGCCCAAGAGAACCCCAAGAGGGCACGGAAGGCTCCCCAAAAGGCCATGGGAGGCCACCAGGAGGGCCTACGCACCCCAAGACTGCCCAACGAAACACGCGATCGCCGTTCGCCAATCCCACTTCGAGGAGGACGAGGAGGACGAGCAGCAGGAGGAGGAGGAGGAGGAGGAGGAGGAGGAGAAGCATGAGAAAGAGAACGAGGACCAGCCTTGGTGAGCTTCCCTTCTATGTCGCCCTCCAGAACCCTTCTCGTGCCAACGGCTGGATCCGCCTTTCAATTTCGATTCAGACGCATCCCTCGATGATCGCGGTCCAAACGCACACCTCCACGGGCCCCACCCTAGGAACGAGATTCGAGGATCGGTGTTCCACGAGTTTCGTCGGCTCGCCGCGGAAGGCCTTCCAGCAACTCGGCCTCGCCGAGGGCTCTCCGACGCTGCCTGGACCGTCCCATACGGCTGGGTGTTTCACCCCAGAGCCAAGGTTTCGTCGGCTCTTGGAGGCACGCTTTACGCGGGATACATGCCAGCAGCTGGGCCTCGCCGAATGCACTCCAGGTGTGCCTACTTCGCCCCCGAGGGTTCCTGGAGGACCCAGCTGCCGCCTCCAAATGCCGATCACGACGCATCCCTGGATGAGCCCCCGATTCGATGTCTCACCCCTCGGCCGAGGCTCCAGGATCTCCGTTCGAAGCAGTTTCGTCGCCTCCTGGGCGCCTGCTCGCCGAGGCGTGCCTTCCAGCAAATGCTCCACGCCGGTAGCGCTCCGGCCGCGCCCGGATCGCCCCGCGCGACCGGCGGAGGCCCGAACTGCCGCCTGGACATGCCGATCCCGACGCACCCCTGGATGACTCCCTGGTTCCACGTGTCACCCTGGACTCTACGTTTGAGGATCGCGGTCCGAGGCGGTTGCGTCAGCTCCCGGAGATCTCCTCGCAGCGAGATGCCTACCTGCAGCTGCGCCTCGCCGAGGGCGCCCCCCTGGGCGCCCCGGAACGCCCCGAGAGGCCACTGAAGGCCCGAGCTGCCGCCTCGAAACCGCGAAACACGCTGCCCCCGCTGAGCCCCCCGATCGACGTTCCACCCAAGAGTCGAGGGTCAAAGCTATACATTCGAGATGCGCCCACAGCCAAAACCGTTCAGGACACTTCGCCAGGCATCTCCCCTGGGCCCCGACGCATCCGTTTCTCCATCTGCGTTCGACCGCGGTGACGAGAAAGCCGAAAGCCCTCCAGGGGCAACAAAAACGCCATATGCCGAACAGCGCGAACGACTTCACCTTCGATATCTCCGAGACACTGGGGGTTCGCGCCGGTGCCAGCTACATGATGGCGGTGCCAAAAAAGATACAGCAGCGCAGCGAGTAGCAGCTGCGACCACGTGCCCATCGAGAAACGGTGCCCTCCACAGCTGAGGGAGTGGCCTGCAGAATTTCCATCCTTAGCTCTGCGTGCGCGTAGAAGAGGGGATAGCCGTGGACTTCCAAATGTGGTAGCTCATGATCACGGGATGCGCTCCAATGCACATACTCCGCCCGCCCCCGCGAGCTCACCCGCAAACGACGACGTCGTCGTCGTCGTCGTCGTCGTCGTCGTCGTCGTCGTCGTCGTCGTCGTCGTCTCTCTCTTTTTCCCTATCTCTCTTTCTCTTTCTCTTTTTTTCATCTCTCTCTCATTCGTTCTCTCTCTCTCTCTCTCTGTCTCTCGCTGTCTTTGCCTGTGCCAATACCACGAGTACATATACGCACAGACGACTGATCTGGTCGGAGTTCCGGTCCGTGACTGAGGCCCCAGAAAGCACCAAGACAGCCGCCAGTGGACTCCAGGAGGCCTCCCGAGACCTCGAAAGCCCGCCACGACGGCCCAGATGGCCCCAAGATTGCTCCAGATGTGCCCAAGCTGGCCCACAGGAGGGGCAAAGAGGCCCCTCAGAGACCCCAGGAGAGCTTTGAGAAGCGTCCCGCAAATGGGGCCCCAGAGGCAGACCTCACCAATCCCCAGCTGTGTTGCCGATACTTTTGGACGTTTTTCGTTTTTTTTTCGGCCTGCCAGCGCTCCTGGACGACCCGAAGGCCCCTAAGACCGCCCCAAGGAGGCACAAGAGGCCCACAGGACGGCCCCAGGACGGCCCAAGACGGCTTCAAGACGGCCCACGAGGCGCCCGCGACAACCGATGAACGCGCAATGATGGCCCCAAACGGCCCTTGCCCGCGCAATTTCTCCGCGCCCCCTTTCGCCATCCGCGAATGTTCGCTCACACGCCAAAGCCACCTAACGAACCGAGGGTTCGACGGCGCAGCGTAGCAAGCCGTAGAACATTTGTGTGTACGTACGTCTATGTGTATGTGTATGTGTATGTGTATGTGTATGTGTATGTGTGTATGTGTATGTGCATGTGCATGTGCATGTGTATGTGTAGGTGTATGTGTATGTGCATGTGCATGTGCATGTGCATGTGCATGTGTATGTGTGTATGCATGTATGTATGTATGCATGCATGCATGCATGCATGCATGTATGTATATATGCATGCATGCATGTATGTATGTGTGTATGCATATGTATGTGTGTACATGTATGTATATGTCTGTATATTTATGTTTGTATATGTTCTGTATGGTTGTACGTACGCATGGGTGAATGTGTGTATGCATGTATTTAGGTATGCATGTATGTATGTATGTATGTATGTATGTATGTATGTATGCATGTCTATAGGTGTATATGTGTTTATGTCTGTATGTGCGCATGTATGTATGCGTGTATATATGCATGCATGTAAGTATGTATGTATGTATATGTACAGAAACATGAATATATATGTATGTGTATGTGTGTATGCATATGTACATGTGTATATACATACATATTTCTGCATACACACACATACATATACAAATACATACATATATATACATATATATATATACATATATATCATTTTCGCCAGCAGAGCCGCCGCGTCGCCGCCCGTGGCCGCCTTGCTGCCGCCCCTCCCGAGGTCTCACCCCGTTGCCGCCCCGCTGCCGCCCCGCTGCCGCCCACCGCGCTTCGGAGGGCGTCCGCCGAGGCTTCGCTACGCTGCCGCCCCGCTGCCGCCCCGCGCGCTCTAGGGGGGTGTCCGCCGCGGCTTCGCCCACGCTGCCGCCCCGCTGCCGCCTCGCTGCCGCCTCGCTGCCGCGCTGGGTGGGCCTCCCGAGGAGTCGCCGCGCTGCTGCCCGTTGCCGAACAGGAGGAGGAGGAGGAGGAGGAGGAGGAGGAGGAGGACGAGGAGGAGGAGGAGGAGGAGGAGGAGGAGGACGAGGAGGACGAGGAGGAGGAGGAGGAGGAGGAGGAGGAGTCGCCACGTGGCTGCCCGCTGGGTGGGCCTCCCGAGGAGTCGCCATGTAGCTTGCTCCGCATCATGTATTTCGCAACGCAGTTTGCGTCACATAGCTTGCACCCCATCGCTTCCGCCTCCACTGCACACGACCTGGCTTATATGATCTAGCTTACACCACATGACTTACACCGTTTGATGCCCGCCTCATCAGCTCACTGCACATAGCTTTCACCACATAGGTTACGCCGCATAGCTTGTACTTTCACAGTGCAATGACGCACTGTTTGGGGACCATGCTGCCTAGCATGCGGGTTTAGGGTTTCCGAAGCCCGCCATATAGCTGCGCCAACGCGCCCTGTCTCCCCCCTGGCTCCCCCCAGGATTGCGTACTGGACGACCGACGACAAGTCAACGGCCATGATGAACAGCTGGGTGGTGTTCTTCCTCGGCTACGAGCCGTCGGCGGCTGCCACGTTCCTGGCCATCTACGGGTTTTTCGTTCTTCTCTTCACTGCGTCCAATTTCGCTGGGCACGCCGTTGAGATCATCGGCGGCGTCAACGCCGCGTGGAAGATCTTCCAGGACGCCCTCACCGGGACCCTGCAGCGCCCGTTCCGCTGGTGGGACGCCAACCCGCCCGGCCGTGTGCTGAACCGCTTCTCGGAGGACGTCAACGTCATGGACAACGCGATCACCAACATCCTCGGCGTCATCTTCGGAGCAGTGCTGTACTTTGTGAGCCACCTCGCGGTCCTCTCGATGGCGAATCCGTACTCCCTGCTGCTCCTGCCGTTCATTGCCGTCGCCCTGGAGTTCTTCGCGAAGTACTACCGCACCACCGTGCGCGAGGTCCAGCGCATGTACCTGGTCTCCATGTCCGCGGTCTACCAGGAGATGGTGGAGGCCGTCGTCGGCCAGGTGACCATCCGCGCCTTCGCGGCCGTGCAGCAGACGCTGTGCTCGAGCATCGACGGCCTCGACCGCCTGCAGAGGATCGGCTTCGCGAAGGTCTGCGTGGTGGCGTGGATCGGCCTCCGCATGGACTTCATCGGCTACAGCCTCAGCATGTTCAACGTCCTCTACCCCGTGATGCAGTTCTACGGCCTCCTCCAGCCGCACAGCGCGGCGCTCGTGGGGTTCTCCATCTCCTACAGCCAGGACGTCGTGAACATCCTCAAGCAGATGATCATGAACTTCTCCGAGCTGGAGATCGAAGAAGAAGCAACTGCAGAGCCATGCACTTTCGTTATGTGTCTTTTTCTTCGTCTTCTTGTTATTATTATTATTCTTATTATTCGTCCTCCTCCTCCTCCTCGTCCTCCTTCGCCTCCTCCTCCTCCTCCTCCTCCGCCTCCTCCTCCTCCTCTTCCTCCTCCTCCTCCTCCTCCTCCTCCTCCTCCTCCCTCTTTCGGAGGTCCGCGCGGAGCTCTTGGATCGTGGCTTCTTGTTCCTCGCTCGGCCTCGCGCCGAGGGGGGGGGAGCACGACGAGGGGGCAGACCCTCTCAGAAGGCGGCGGTGGCCTGGTATCGCTCGGACGTGTGCACTTCTTTCCTCGGCGGGGGTTATGAAGGCGCATCCTGGACCATCCTGCGAACAAATTATCCCAGTGCGACCCTACCTAGGAGTTGGAGGATCTAGGAAAGCAGCATCTATATGAAGCTAAGCTAAGCTAAGATGAAGCTAAGCTAAGATGAAGTGAGCTGAGCTAAGATGAGATAAGCAACGCTGAGCTAAGCGAGCGTCACTGGGGGAACCGCGGAGCGGATGCCGGGGGAACCGCCCGGGGCGAGGACCACTGCCCGGCCCTCTGAGCACAGCGAGCAAGAGCCCTCCTAGGCAGAGCCTGGGTAGGGAAAAGCACGCGCGAAACCGAACAAATTTCACAGGGAACGGACGTCCGAGCCACGGGGGAGCGGCGCGGGGGATGCCTCCGCCGACCGGCGCCGCGGCGCGCCCCCCGCGCAGACCGCCGAGGGGCAGACGTGTCGGTCCCGCCGGGCAGCGTCGGGGAGGGGGGAGGCTCGTGGGCTTCGAGGCTCGAGGGTGGAGGTTCGCCCTTCTCCTCCTCCTCCTCCTCCTCCTCCTCCTCCTCCTCCTCCTCCTCCTCCTCCTCCTCCTCCTCCTCCTCCTCCTCCTCCTCCTCCTCCTCCTCCTCCTCCTCCTCCTCCTCCTCCTCCTCCTCCTCCTCCTCCTCCTCCTCCTCCGCCCCTCCTTCCTCCCCCTCCTCCTCCTCCTCCTCCCCTCCTCCCTCCCCTCCTGCTCCTCCTCCTCTCCTCCTCCTCCTCCTCCTCCTCCTCCTCCTCCTCCTCCTCCTCCTCCTCCTCCTCCTCCTCCTCCTCCTCCTCCCCCTCCGCGCGGTGCCGCCGCTCTCGTGCGCAGGAGATGCAGCTCATCTCCGTCGAGAGGCTCACCGAGTACTCGCAGAGGTCGGCGGCGGCATCCGAGCCCCCACCCCACGCCGATGCACGCGTCGGGCAACCGCTCGAGGGGCGGCGCGGGCAGGCTTCGGCATGCGTCGGGCACGCGTGGGCCCGTCCGAGCCCTGCCCTTTAAGTGGGGCCTGTCCCTCTACAGGGGGAATGTTCAAAAATACTAGGAAAATAATATGGGGACTTTTTTTGAGTATTTGTGGGCATCTTGTGATTTTTTTTTGGGGTATTTTGATTTTTTCGTCCAAGATCCCCCAGTAGGGGGGACAGGCCCGACAGAACCCTGCCCCCGCCTCGCCCAGCGATTCGCCAGCATCGACGGGCGAGGCGGCCTCGGATGGCGCCAGCTCCGAGGGCACCGCCGAGCGCGCCCCCCACCCCGGCCCTGGCGGGCGGCGGCTCCCGGGGCCTCCAGCTGGCGGACGTCGCGGTGACCTACCGGGAGGGCCTGCCGCCGGCCCTCAGCGGGGTCTCCCTGGCCTTCCCGCTGGGCGAGGCCGCCGCCATCATGGGCCGCACCGGCGCGGGGAAGTCCTCGCTGCTCCTCTCCGTGATGCAGCTCGTCCCGTACACCGGCAGGCCCCTCCCCTCGGCAGAGGAGGAAAGAGGCAAGCCGAGACCGCTAATTAGTGCTCCCCCGTCCCTCGCGGCCACGGCCCGGTTCCGCCTCGAGGCTCCCAGTCCGAGCGCGCCCCTCGAGAGGTCCGGGAGCAGCGGCATCGTGACCGCTCCCCTTCCCCGGGCCCTCCTTGGCTCTCACTTCCCCCGCCCCGTCCCCACCCTTGCCCCTGCCCCGCTCTCTCTCTCTCTCTCTCTCTGTCTCTCTGTCTCTCTCTCTCTCTCTCTCTCTCTCTTTTTTTCTCTGTGCCTCTCGTGGTGGGGTGGGCTGTGCTGGTCCCTCTCTGTGTGCCTCTCGTGGTGGGGTGGGCTGTGCCCGTCGCCCTGCTCCTGCGCGAGCGCGCGCGGTCGAGCCTCCTGCGCTTGCGCTTGGCGCTGGCGCTGGCGCTTTCCCCGCTTGTAGGATTCAGTCAGGCCCGTGCCTCTACAGGGGGGGGGGATCTTCCAAAGATATAGTCAGACAAAAATAGTCGGGGGATTTGTTTTGCTTATTTTTGGAGCATTGGGGGGGTATTTTTTGGTGTATTTTTCATTCTTCGCCCAAAAAATCCCCCTGTAGGGGGACACGCCCGATTTAAAACGCTTGTAGGATCTCGGTGTGCGGCGAGCTGCTGGGCCAGCTGGACGGCGAGGACGTGCGCTCGCGCCTCGTGGGCGTCGTGCCGCAGCAGCCGGCCCTCTTCGAGGGCAGCCTGCGCTGGAACATGGACCCCAAGGAGCCCAGCGGCAGGGGGGGAGCCGTGGCCATTTCGGCCCAAGGAGCCGTGGCCAGGCTCAGGCCCAGCGGCGCTCAAGGCCCGATTTCACTAGGGCCGCATGTCGACAGGTCTGGCCCGGCTCTGCAGGGAAGGCGTCCTTCGACGATCGCCGGTTTTACCAAAAGGGGTCAGGGGACGCAAAAGTGGAACCCCGTGCGTCTTCGAGCCCAGCGGCAGGGAGGGTAGGGTTAAGTCGGGCCTGTCCCCCCACAGGGGTTTTTTCGACGAAAAACAAAAATACCCCCAATAATAGTCCAAAAATAAGCCAAAAATAATCCGGTGACTTTTTTTGGGGGTATTTGTTTACCTTTTTGCTGCATTTTGGGGGTATGTTTTATTTGTCGCCGAAAATCCCCCTGTAGGGGGACACGCCCGACGTAAGGGTAGGGGTCAGGGGGCGAACAAAAAGTGCAACCCCATGCGTCGTCGACCCGGCGTGCGCCCCCGCCCCCCCCCCCCCCTCTCCCCCCAATTTCTCAAAATTGGCCTCGGCCTCCCGGAGGCCCTGGGGGGTCCGCTTTTTTTGTCCTCTCGCGCCTGTGCTGCCGAATGCTTGAGGCCGACTTTGAAATTGGGGGGGAGGCGTGGTTCCATTTTTTTGTCCATCTGCGGGAGGAGGGGAGGGAGCTTTTTTTGTTGGCCGTCGCTCCGCGGGGCCGTCGAAAGTGCCGTGGTTGTGCCAGCCAGCAGCTGACCTTCGAGCTCCGACGACGACGACGACGACGACGACGACGACGACGACGACGACGACGACGACGGTGGCAGCGGTGGCAAGGGCGAGGATGGCGAGGACGGCGAAGACGACAACGACGAAGCCCGAGTCGTTGCCGATGCCGACTCAGCAGGAAGGAGGGAGGGAATGATGGGTGAAGGGAGGGAGGGAGGAAGGAAAAGAGAGAGGAGTAGGGGGAGGACGAGGAGGATAAAGAAGGAAGGGGAGGACTAGAAGGAGGGGGAGGATCAAAAGAGAAGGATGGATAAACAGAGGATGAGGCAGAAGAGAAGGGAGGGGGGAAGAAGAGCACGAGGAGAAAGGAGGAGGAGGAGGAATGAGGAGGAGGAGGAGGAGGAGGAGGAGGGTGAAAGGAGGAGGAGGAGGAGGAGGAGGAGGCGGAGGAGGATGGGCAGGGAGGAGGACGAGGAGGACCGACGACGGTGGTGAGCGTAGCTTGCGCAGCCGGCCTCCGTGGTCGCCGCGGGCTGCCTCCCCCTCGGGCTTCTCACCATGAGGTGCGCCACCCTGGGTGGTCAAAGACCGCTTCCCTGCCTGGCCACGGGCGGCCTCCCCCCTCCCTCCTCCCTCCCTCCCTCCCTCCCTCCCTCCCTCTCCTCTTCCTCAACTCCTCCTCCTCTCCTCCTCCTCCTCCTCCCCTCATTCCCCTCCCTCCTCCTCCTCCTCCTCCTCCTCCTCCTCCTCCTCTCCCTCACTCCCTCCCTCCCTCCCTCCCTCCCTCCCTCCCTCCCTCCCTCCCCCTCCCTCCTCCCTCCCTTCCCTCTTCCTCCCCTCCTCCTCCTCCTCTCCTCCCTCCCTCCCTCCCTCCCTCCCTCCTCCCTCCCTCCCTCCTCCTCCCTCCTCCTCCTCTCCTCCTCCTCCTCCTCCTCCTCTCCTCCTCTCTCACATCATCATCATCATCATCATCGCATCATCATCATGATCATCAACTCATCATCATCATCATCTCAGCATCATCAGCATCATCACATCATCATCATCATCATCATCATCATCATCATCATCATCATCACATCATCATCATCATCAGCATCATCATCATCATCCTCATCCTCATCCTCTCCTCATCCTCATCATCGTCATCATCATCATCATCGTCATCATCGTCATCATCATCTCATCGTCATCATCATCATCATCAATCATCATCATCTCATCATCATCATCATCATCATCATCATCATCATCATCATCATCATCATCATCATCATCATCATCATCAATCATCATCATCATCATCATCATCATCATCATCATCATCATCATCATCATCATCATCATCATCATCATCATCATCATCCATCATTTCATCATCATCACATCATCACCATCATCATCGTCGTCGTCGTCGTCGTCGTCGTCATCATCACCATCATCATCATCATCATCATCATCATCATCATCATCATCATCATCATCATCATCATCATCATCATCATCATCCCTCCTCCCTCCTGCCTCCTGCCTCCTCCCTCCGCCCTCCTCCTCCCTCCTCCCTCCTCCCTCCTCCCTCCCCTTGCTCGGACTGGCTCCACACGGCCAGGGCGCCGACGTGGGGACCGCTTTGGGCTCTGGAGGGGCTCCGGCTGATGGCCCCTGCGCTCCTGCGGAGTGGTCCTGGTCCCCCTCAGTTAAGAAATGGGTGATGTCAGACCAGGAGGAGGAGGAGGAGGAGGAGGAGGAGGAGGAGGAGAGGAGAGGAGGCGAGGAGGAGGAGAGGAGGAGGAGGAGGAGAGGAGAGAGGAGGCGGAGGGGATGAGGAGGAGGGAGGAGGAGGAGGGAGGAGGAGGAGGAGGCGTGGAGGAGGAGGAGGAGAGGAGGAGGATGAGGAGAGAGGAGGAGGAGGAGGATGGAGGAGGAGGAGGAGGAGGGAGGAGGAGGAGGAGGAGGAGGAGGAGGATGAGGAGGAGGAGGAGGAGGAGGTTGGGGTTGGGGTTGGGTAGAGGGCGGGCTAGTCTAGCCCACCTGCGCCGCCGCGGCGGCTCCGCACAGCCGCCGAGGCCTGGCGGCCTCAACGGCTCAGGGCTCCTGCGGCAACACCTTCACTCGGGCGTGCAGGCTGCCGCCGGACGCCGGCCTCAGCCCTCGCACTCGGAGCCGTCGCTGTACTGCGCCGCTGCGCGCTCCCAAGCCACCGCCTCCGTTGGGCTGTGGAAGCCGTGCAGCCGCGCGACGTCGTAGATGTGCAGACGCCGCCAGTTGAGCCCGTAGCCCGGTCTCACTGCAGGTTCCTGCTCCTCTTCCTCGCCTGCGCCGGGCGCCAGCACTGGTCGCCAGATCGTCCGCTCGGCGTCTGTGAGAGCCCTCGGCTGCCCGAGCCGCTGTCTCTGCCTCCGAGGGTGCGGGTGTAGGCCGGCTCGCAGCCGCCGACGCGCCTCTGCGAGTCCGGCGGCCTCGGGGCCGCGGCACGGACCCAGAAGGCTGCCCCGTCCTCTCCGCTGCACCTGCGCGTTGGCACCGCACTGCATGCAGAAGAGCACCGCGTCCTCGTCGCCGCAAGGCCTGGCCAAAATGCTGTGGCCCCTCAGCTTCCATGGCACTGCAGGGACGTGGTCCACCTCCGGGCCGTTGTCACCGGCTCCTGTGGCTTGCTCGCCCGGTGCGCCTGGAGGCAACTGGAGGGCCTCGGGCGCACCAACTCCGTGACATTGTAGGGGCCGTCTGCTGGTCGCTGGGCCGCCCTCGGCGTCGTGCTGGCCACCATCGTGCTCCTCCTGGTCGTCCATTGCGCCGGCACTCAGGCCCACGGAATCTCTGACTTCCGTTCCCTGCAGGTGCGCGTGGAGGTCCCCCAGCCATCGCGCCAGCTGCCTGGCTCGGCGCCTGCACGCAGCGGCGAAGAGGCGCGCATCCTCGGGGACGCCCCACAGCCGGGCTCCGCGGCGCGCCAGGCGGTCCGCCGCGGCGTTCCCAGCGCGCCGCCAGCTCTCCAGGTGGCTCGTCATGGCGTTCACCCCGAGGTGCGCCTTGCCCTTCACGACCTCGACCTCCTGGTCGCCCATCTCGGCCCACCACGCTGACCAGAGGTGCCGCCGCACGTTGGCCTCGCGCATGGCGAAGGCCCGGTCGCGGGCGCACTTCACCGTGCCCTTGCAGTCGCAATGGGCCCTGAGAGGGCCCTGCCCGAGCTGCGACAGCATCTTGAACGCGTAGTCCTCGCCGTCGCGCGCCTCCTGCAGCGGCGCCTGCGCCAGCGGCACCACGCCGTAGGCCGCGCCCGTGATCTCCCGGTCGTCGTTGAAGGCCACGATGGCCCACCCTGCCCGCCTCAGGGAGTCGTCCTCCACGTCGAAGGCGCTGCCGTCGACGAAAACGTCACCCGAGAAGAACCCCCCCTCGGGTCGCACGTGCCACACGAGGTGGTGGGCCTCTGGAGCCTCTGACCTCGAGAAGCATTGCTGCGCGGAGGGCAGCAGACCTCGGGCGAACAGCTCACCCGCCGCCTCTCCGCGTTCGCGCACCACGCGCGCGGCGGCCAGCAGCTCTGGCGGGCAGCGGTCCCTCCTGCGCACCGCGTGGCCGTCGCAAGCGAAACAGCGATGCCAGAGCGTGCCCCGCTCCGCGCCGCACAAAGTGCATCGGTCGCTGTCCGTCTTACCCTCGTCGCACAGCCGGGCCTGCGGCCAATGGGAACCTCCGAGTAAGCTCCGAAGAGCCCGCTGATGGCCGACCGTCCACTCGGAGTTGTCCACCGCCTTCGGCCCGAGGAGCTTCGCCAATGGCGCCCAATTGAGCGGGGTCGCCCACGTGCCGGCCCCTCTCAGCCTGGCCAGCGCCGCCACGTCGGACATCTGGCACGCGTGTCGGCGAACGATCTCCTTGGCAGCCCCCGGAGAGAAGTCCCGCAACCGAATGACCTCACCTCCTGGGATCTCGAGGGCATCGAACCGCGGCATGTCCAGCCCTGCCCTGCGCAGCCCAAGGCGGCAGGCCTCCGCTGGGCAGCGGCACAGATTCCAGGGCCTCTCACGCATCAGGATGCCGCTCGCGGCCTCCCAGCACGTCTTCATCACCTCCTCCGTGACGAGCCCCCGCGCCAGTGTCGAGGTCCAGGCGCGCGCAAGCTCGGCGGCGTGCAAGACCCAGGGGTCCCGCGAGGCCGCGCGTGGGTGCGCTTTCAGCCTGAGGCCGACGCTGCACCCCGCTGGGAGCCTGCCAGCAGCCTTCGCCGCCAGGATTCTGAGTTGGTGCAGCTTGCCGTCGGCTATGCCTGTGACCGCCGATCCCCATAGTGCAGTCGCCGTAGGGCTCCCCCTCTGGAGCCCTGCTGCCTGAGCTCCTGCCCTGCGGAGGGCCTGCACTCGGAGGGAAACGCGCGCAGCTCGTTGCATTCGCACGTCTTGCTCGTGGACCCTCCGCCACCTGCCATCCGTGGCGTCGCAGCCCAAGTTGCGTGCCCCGGAGCTCCGTTGGCCGCCCTGGGACCCAGCTGCAGCCGCCTCTGCCCCCAGCGCCGCGTCCATGGCAGCAGCCACGTCCGCAGTGTTGGCGAGGTACTTGGTCTTCTTCCAGGAGACGGGCAGGCCCTTCTCGACCAGCCCGCGCACGAGGTCGAGCGTCGCGTTCGGCAGCTGCTCCTTCACCTGCTTTCCTCCGCCCACCGCCTGCACGAAGACGTCGTCGACGATGTTCTGGCAGCGCACCACCGGGTACAACTTCTGCACCCGCTTCGTGAGCACGTGGAGCAGCAGCTTGGCCACTCCTGTGGCGCACGAGCACCCCGCGGTCAGGGTCCCGTTCGCCCGGATGCCATCCGAAATCGCTCCATCCCAGGTGGCTCGAGGAGGAGGAGGAGGAGCAGGCGTAGGAGGAGGAGGAGGAGGAGGAAAGGAGAGAGGAGGAGGGGAGGAGGGGAAGGAGGAGGGGAGGAGGAGGAGGGAGGAGGGGGGAGGAGGAGGGGGGAGGGGGGGGGGAGGAGGAGGGGGAGGAGGGGATGGAGGAGGAGGAGAGGAGGAGGAGGGAGGAGGAGGAGGAGGAGGAGGAGGAGGAGGAGCAGGAGCAGGAGCAGGAGCAGGAGGAGCAGGAGCAGGAGGAGGGAGGAGGAGGCACGCCGGGGTGCTCGCGAGGGCCTCCACGCCGACGCCGAGCTCTGGGACGCGCTCCAGGCCGTCGGGCTGAGGGCCGCCTGCAGCGCTCCCGGCCTGGGCGCGCAGGTGGCCACCAGCGCGGGCGGCGGCGGCCCCGGCAGGCTGGCCCTCTCGCAGGGCCAGCGGCAGCTGCTCTGCGCCGCGCGCGCGCTGCTCCGCAGGCCGGCGGGGAGGGCCGATCGCGGCGGGGAGCTCTCGCCCGCGCCGCCTGCCCGGGGATCGATCGGCCTCCGGGGGGCCTCTCGGCGGGGGCGGCGGAGAGGGGGGGAGCTGCCGGGGCCTCCAATTGGGGCCCAGCCGCACACCTCCAGGTCCGCCGCCCGCCTGGGGGCCCGCAGGAGGACGTCGCTTCCCCGGGCGGCGGTGGGTGTGCAGAGGTCTCCGCGCCTCGCAGAAGAGGAGGAAACGAGCGTGCACAGTGCGCAGCCTTCTCGGAGGCCCTCGCGGATTCCTCGCGTCGGCGCCGGGGCCCCCTCTGGCGGCTCCTCCAGCGACCCCCCCCTCTCTCGGCGCGCTGCGCGCGCGCGCGCCGGGGGAGCGTGTGGTATGGGGCCGGTCCCAGGAGTCCGCGCGCGGGCCTCGGAAGAATTGTTCTGGAGTCCCCAAACGGTACGGTGACGGACCGTGCGGTGACCCCGAAATCCCCCAAGACCTCACCGCACGGTCCGTCACCGCACGGTCTTGGGACCTCGGAGGCCCCAGTCGCCCGAGACGTCCTCGGAGAACGGCCCGAGTCCCAAAACCATGCAGTGACCCCGAATCCCCACCGACTCACCGCACGGTGTGGTCACCACACCGTTTGGGGGCCCCCGAATTGTACTGGTGCCGGTGCCTCCTCATCCCCAGACCCCCTCGAGTTATGAAATGATCCCAGTGCGACCCTACCTAGGAGTTGGAGCCTCTAGGAAAGCAACGTTGGTAGGAGCGGTAGACGCCGTCCTCCTCCTTCTCCTTGCTTTTACCTTTGCTGTTGCTTTTGCTTGGCTCCCAGGGGACCGGGGGAACCGCCCAGGGCGGTTTACACTGCCCGGCCCCTTTAGGCCAACAGAGTAAGAACCCTTCTAGGCAGAGCCTAGGTAGGAAAAAATCACGACGGGAGGTTTTTCATTATTTTTGGCCTTTGGGGGCCCTTGCCGGCCCTCGGGACCGTCAGAAAACGACTCAGGGCGAAAAACCGGTCCCGGGGAATGGGTCGAGGCCTCGGGGGGTCGACGTCATGCAAAAATCATGACGTCGGGGGTCTGGGTCTAAGGCCGCGCGTAGCGATGCTGGACGAGGTGTCGGCGTCGCTGCCGTCGGACGTGGCGGCCAGCACCGTGCAGACGCTGCTGGACCGCTTCAAGCAGCGGGGGGCGGCCGTGCTCTTGGTGACCCACCAGCAGGAGCCGCTGCCGCTCCTGCTGCTCCTGCTGCCGCTCCTTCCTCCTCGACCCTCCCTTCTTCTCCCTACCTACTCCGTCCCTCCTCACTCCTCCTCCCTCCCTCCTCCCTCCTCCCTTCTCCTCCTCCTCCTCCTCCTCCTCCTCCTCCTCCTCCTCCTCCTCCTCCTCCTCCTCCTCCTCCTCCTCCTCCCTCCTCTCTCCCTTCCCTCCCTCCCTCCTCTCTCCCTTCCCTCCCTCCCTCCTTCCTCTTCCTCGACAGGAGCTGCTGCCGCTCTGCGACCGGGTGATCACCGTGGCGGGCGGGCGCATCGTCGGGGACCGCCGCAACGACCAGGCGAGGGGCGCCGAGTGAGTTTCACGCGCAGCGTGGCGCCGCTGCAAGACGAGCGCATGACTTCGGGCGGGGCTGGGGCGAGAATACACGTTGTTCATTTCTAATCATTCGAAAGCTCCTTGTCTTTTTGGGGGGCCAGGATCCTTTCATTTCTAATTGTTCTATCCTGGGCCTCTTTCTCGCCACTAGGGCCAGGAACAATTAGAAACGAGCGCAATTAGAAACGAGCAATATTAGAAATGAACGACGTGTAAATCCGTCCCAGAGCGAGCGTTGTGTAACGCTGTCGGAGCGTTCTGGCACGCTCTGAGAAGGCTGCGGCGCCCGTCACAACCCTCCTCGAAATCAAACGCAAGGTTTTTATCCACCCCCTCGCCGCCGAATTTCAATGTGGTTGGACGGTGTCGGCGTCAATACTGAAACTGGATGTCCGGGAGCGTCGCCACGTCGTGGGAAAGATTTGCGTTTGATTTCGAGGGGGATGTAGGCAGAGCATAAAGCCGTCCCAGAGCGTTCTGGAGCGCTCTGCGGGACGCTCCGAGCAGGCCGCGGCGCCCGAGACATCTTCCAGAGCCGCCGAATCTCAGAGATTCTCCGGTGATCCCCCCCCGATGTTGTCCTCGTCCTGGCTTCGTCTCAGTGCTGGCATGACCTGGACGCTCTGCTTTGCCGCCGGTTAGGAGCCGAGAGCCTATAGGAGCAGCCAAGCAGAGCCTCCCCCTGGGCAAGAGGCGGCGGCGCACCACGAGCAGCACGGCCCGGTCGGCGCTGACCGTCATGTCGCCGGGGGGGGGGAGCCTGTCTGTGTGCTCCTGGGCCTCCCTTGCGTGCCCGCTTAGGGTGGGGTTAGCCACGGGCCTCGCTGCCCGTGTCGCTGCCACAAGGAGGTGGGGCGTTGCGCCCCAGCTGTGCACGGGGTTCGAGCCGGGAGCCCGATGAAGCAGTCGGCTCCTCCCCAGTCCTCGGCTCCCCGTTCCCATCCCACTGTGCCTCCTCCCCCAGGCCACCTCCGTATTCCCGTCCTCCTCCTCTTCCTCCTCCTCCTCCTCCTCCGCCCCCTCCTCCTCCTCCTCCTCCTCCTCCTCCTCCTCCTCCTCCTCCTCCTCCTCCTCCTCCTCCTCCTCCTCCTCCCCCCCTCCTCCCTCTCTTCCTCCTCCTCCTCCTCATCATCATCATCTCCTCATGATACTGCTCCTCATGCTCTTCGTGCTCCTCATCCTCCTCATCCTCATCCTTGTCCCTCCTCCTCCTCCTG